TCCTGTCGTCCACATCGTTCCCTGCCGATCCCCGACGCCCACCGCAGCTATGTAAGTAACTAACCCAACTATAGCTTCCCCAACCCGCAACACCTAGTCAACACCGACAAGATAGCCACCAGCGTCTTGAACGCCACCGTGGCACACCACACCAAGCACTTGAAGGTGACTGTGATGAGCCCGACCAACGCCCGCAACACACCGGGTACCTTATCCTTCTCGCCCCCCTTACCCAGATCACTACTCTGGCTCTCCAAGTCTATCTCAAACTGCTCCATCGGCCCCTTCTTACCACCCTTCTTCTTCTTCTGCTTCTCCCGCAACTTCTTGCGCTCCTTCTCCTCGCGCTTACTCGCGCGGCTCGCCGCCCCCAACCTCTCACTCCAGCTACTACTCCTGCCCCCCTCGCCGGCCCCAACCCCTCCCACCCCGCTGGCCGCATACACACTCCCATTCGGCCCCCCAAACACCACCGGCGGCGGCTCAAACACCTCCCCGCCACCCCCGCCATTCAGCCCCCCATCCAGATGCGCCACGATCACCAACGCGGCCACCACCACATCCACCAGATACACGGCCTCGATCTTGCCCGCGATGCCCGTATCCACCTGCACCCAGCCGGCGCCGGTGCCATCGCGCACCAGCCGCGCCAGCGGCACCGGCGACTCGAGGTGCTCGAGGGTGTACTCGACGCGGGCGTAGGCCGGGTGGCGGGCGACGGCGACGCGGAAGGGCATGGCCAGCGCCGGGTGCGCCAGGAAGTGGCTGCCGCTGTCGGCGTCCCACACCAGGCGCGCGGATTCCTGCTGTGCGAGCGCGACCGTGGTCAGGTCGTTGGCGCGGTCGGCCACGAGGCGCGCTGCCGCGGCGGGCCAGAGGTGTGCTACCAGGCCGTCGTCGGGGTTGGGGTCGGAGTTGGGATCGGAGGATGGGGTGGTGGTGGGGAGGGGTTCGCCGGCCGAGTTGGTTGGGGAGAGGTGGGTGGAGAGGACTTCTTGCCAGTTTTTTTGGTGCTTGGAGGCTGTGGTGGCGGGGGTGTAAGCGGTGGTTGTGGGGAGGGGGTGGCTGGATTGGCGGCTGGAGGAGGATGCGCGCGGGGAGGGGGAGGAGGTGCCGCTGTTAGGGCTGATGGCCATGGTAGTGGCGGTGGAGGAGGAGGAGGCGGGCTTGAAGGGTTTGTTGGGGTCGTAGCGGGAGAGCGTGACAAGGGCCGAGGAGGAGGTCGGGTCGACGCGGAGGCAGTAGAAGGGTTGGTTGGTGGAGGAGGAGAGGGTGTATGATGGGGGTAGATCCGGGGAGGCGGCCATCTTGAGGCAGTAGCTGCGGCCGTCAAACGAGGTGGCCTTCCACCCGTTCGTCACCTTCCACAGCCCGCGGAGTTCTTCGGTGCTGTTGACGGGCGGCATCACGGCAGGCTCGTGGTGTCGCTGCCCCATGGTGGGATGCCAGCTGGCGGTAGAGGGGGCTGCGCGCGGAGGGCTAGCTTGATAGGTGGCTGCTGGCACGCTGGACGACGCTTCGGCGGCTGGGGCAATGCTTGGAGGAGAGTAGAGGGGCCTGCTGATGGCGTGTTGGGGGATGTGCGTCGGGCTTGCTTGGGTCGGGTAATAGTTCTGCTGGTCCAGGGATATGTCGGGGTTGTATCGAGGGAACATGGACCGGATGGCGGCTGGTTCACCGGGTTGCCCTGGCTGTGACGACGAGGACGGGCCGGCCGTCGTGTAGGCTATTGGAGGTTTGGCGATGGAGCTCCGCGATCTCTGGCTGGAACTGCGGACGAGCGTCTGGGCCTCGGAGAAGGCTGTCTCGCATCGCTGAGGCGCATCCGTCACGGGTTGGGAATATGTGGTCTCAACGACGGGATCTTCCACAACGAACGGCGCTGCCGACGGGCCTGCCGCGGTCTCTCCATATACCGGCTGTCTTGTGGCATCGAGTGCGTGCTGCCACGGGTTGTTCGACGGGATCCTCTGCCTGCCCCTAGCGGATGAGTTCCTCCGCCCGGTACGGGGAGGTGTCATCTCGATCGAGCCAGACCGCCCTTCCTGGGGCGAAGCTGCTCGAGGCCTGCTCTGTGATCTCGAGGGCGGTCGCGGAGCGTTGTTCGGGTTCGGGAAGAGGGAGAACCCTCCGGCTGGGGGTGGGTGTTGGTGTGGCGACGACATGTTGTCGACCAGAGCTCTGCTCTCTTTAAAGCCCAATGGTGTGGCTCTGCTGTTGTCTTCCCTCGCTTCTGCTTGTCCAACTGCGCGCCAACGGCAAAGACAGGTCGATCACAAAAGGCCAACGGTGTCTGCGTCTGCTATCGAAACATCATGGCCCAATCAATAATACAGAACGAGGAGCGTTGAGGCGGAATTGACAATGTTCCACCTCGTCGACGCCAACGACAATTTGGTGATGATACGAAAGGATAGAGCCAAAGCCACGGAACCGGGCAAGAAAGGGAGCCAATCCGTTTTATTCAACCCGCCATCTTCCAGTTCCAATCCGTCCCAGAGTCTGAGCGAGCAAGGAGCACAAGCACCCGCACCCGCAATCGCACTTGGACCCCGGTCCCCCTGTCCATGTCCCGCGTGTATTCCATCTGCGGGTGTGGTAGCGGGAGCATGGGATAGGTACGAAGTACATGGGAAGGGTGCGGTGTGTGTGTGTGTGTGTGGGTGACCCTTTAGTGTGTGCGTGTGCGCTTCTCAGTAAATTCAGGGCAGTTCCTGCACTTCTGGGCGGGCAGGCAGCGGGGAGGAAGGAACCAAGCTGACCTATCGTGGCCCGTCCTTTTTTCTCATGCAGTGCGCTATGGAAGGTCGCCTTTCCGACTGCAGTGAGATTCGGCAGTCTTAAGCGCCGGGCATGCCCAACGCGGCCGGGAGCAGCGACCTCGTCCCGCTGTGACTGGGTGAGGGCCGGGGTTGGATGGGTTGGATGGGGGTTGGATGGTCGACAGTCGCGGGAGGGGGACGAATTAGGCGCTCAAAAATAGATTCCCTGGTGCCCTCCCCTGTCCAAATCCTCCAATCAACACCCGAATCACCTTGCAGATTGACGCCGCCAACTCTTCGTCGCTTCCTGCCTCTTGTTCCCTTTTGAGTTTCGCAAAGAAAGCAACGATTGCAGCAATTGCGATTGCAGCAAATCTAGGCAAGGCTGGGCCAGCGGCGCCACCGGAGTTCTTTCACGGTTGTTACTGTTACAGGCGGTCAGGTCAATCCGATAGGGCGGCTCGATCAGATCCCGCCCTCACAGAAGCTATGCGAGAGGCTGGCTGGCTGATCAAATCACGCTTTTCGCATTTTGCCCTCTTTTTCTTTCCCGTAGGCGCATCTAGCGTCGTGAGCGTATCGCGAACCCCCAAATCAGGTAGTTTCATGAAGCACTTGACCTTCTGCAGCTATGGCTGCTTGGGACAAGATCTACAAGGTGATATCTTCATCCCCTTTCCTATTTGTTCGACCGGTCTAGGGTAAAAGACTTGACCCCGCGTTGATGATACCCGGGGTCGCCAGTGAGAGTCGAATCGATGAGGTCCTCGGTGGAGGGTCGTATGGGGTTGCATTCCCCCGAGGTGATTCATTTCTCGACAAAAATCATCTTGACCACCTCTGAGTCGATGAACAAACCGCTGCAACGTCGGGCCGTCCCATCGAGTTGTAAAAGGGTGCGACGCTCGTTACGCTTTCTGGCTCAAGCGAATGGGAGCCATGTTCTCGCTTCGGGAGTTGGCAAACCCGGCTGCTGTAGCATGCCCAATATCAAGAATACCTCCTCCCATGCGGGAGATCTGGAGTGCAGGCACCTGTCGTGTTACAACACCATGTCCTACCCTACGGCATGGTTACTGACACTCATACCCGAACCTCCATACCGCTATTTCTCAGCCTCTGCCATTCATCAACGAACGCCCTCTCGAAAGGGGCGCCGCAAGGGCTGGTACTGGTACCTTGCAGCAACCGCAGCAACCGGCCAAGGAGAAGAGCCAAGGGAAGTGGACGGCATGGCCAATTCCAAGAACGAATACCCTTTCTACCCGTCCACCCAATGGTCTCGAGATGGCGTCGCCGTTGGCCGAGTCGGGAGGCGCTTACTCACCCGCTAGTTGTTGCTTAACTTTTGACTCGTCAAGGGCCAATGAGAGCCAAAAATACTATGACGGCGTCGCTTTGTGGGCTTCACTTTTCGTTTGTGGCTGCCACGAAGGGCGGGAGCAACTGTTCTATTTCCGATCCGCCCTCTCTAAGCATATCGTGTATTAGATGAGAATCCTACATCACGAGCAAACAAATACTCTCGGGTGGCGTTCATTTGAATCTGTAAAGGCTCTAGCTTAAAGTTTCTGCTATTCTTGGTGAGTGTCTCGGGAAGACCGCCATGCCACGAGAGAAATAGAGCAGTGCTATTCCTGCTGCCGCACCGTGGCCGAAGCACATCATCGGTCATAGATGTAAGTCACAGGGAACGCAGACGAGCATCCCGTTTTGGTTGTGGGTAAAAAGTGACGCCAAAAACTGTCCTGCTTGGAGTGAGTCGTAACGTTGCCGTTATATCCTAGCAAAAACAAAATCAGGGGAGTATGCATGCTTTTGGAACCCGAAGTCGACGGAGCTGAGCCGGACACGACGCATCGGATCCGGTCGCACTTCCGGCGGAAACCGGATGCACCGATGCAAGCCGGGGATGGGTAGAGACCCACCCGGTGGTGCGGAGCCGAATCCGAGCTCCTCGGGCCGGAGTCGGACCACGAGACGATGCCGCTCCTTTCCATCTCAGTTAGGTGGTATTGCAGACACTAGCTTCAGCCTACTTATGAATGTTTGGCACTAACCGAGAAGCCAAAATACGAGGCATACGGGGAGGCTCTCACGACGCAGCCTCGCCTCCAACCACTATATCTCAGTCTATATAATCTCTCACATCCCCAGCGGGCGGGACTCGAGTGTTTTCGTCTTGTCCTCATGCTACTTACATCTTCGTGAAACATTAACAACAACTGGATAATACGAACGCTTACATCATGCCACAACACGTAGTCGTCGTTGGGTGAGTTGACTTTCCTGAGACCAACCCCTGAGTCTCTCACCACCTACCTGCCTTAAGTAAGTACCACAACAAAACTAACACCACCCCCCAGAGCTGGCGTCATCGGCCTCAGCAGCGCCCTCCTCCTCCGACAAGCCGGCCATGCCGTAACCATCGTCGCCCGGGATTTCCCCGAGTCCTTCGAGACGATCGACCCCCTGACCAAAATCAACTACACCTCCCCCTGGGGCGGAGCTCGTACGCCTTCCCCTCCCCCAAAGTCTCCCCCCTCCAAACCTCCCCCACCACCACTAACCCCCCCTTTCCCCCTTCCCAAAAAAAAAGACAACCGCTGGGTCCCCCCCCACCACACCCTCCCCGCGCACCTCATCCGCGAGCACGCCCTCTCGCGCACCACCTACACGCACATGCAGCGGCTCTTCCAGGCCCACCCGCACACGGCCGGCATCACCTTCTGCAAGGGCATCGAGTACATGGAGCAGCCGGGCCCCGCGCAGACCGAGACCCTGTCGACTCCCGCCAACCCCAACGCGCTGGATCTGCCGGGGTTTCGGCTGTTGGAGCGGGGGGAGTTCCCTGCCGGTGGTTCTGGGGGTGGTGGTGGTGGTGGTGGTGGTGGTGGGGTGGCGTGGGGTTGTGAGTATGATACGTGGTGTGTGAACCCGATGGTGTACTGCGCGTTTTTGCTGCGGCGGTTTGTAAATCGCGGGGGGCGGATTGTGAGGCGCGAGCTGAGGAGGCCCGAGGAGGTGTTTGCGCTGTCGGCGGCGGAGTTGGGGTTGGCGGTTGGTGGTGATGGGGATAAAAAGGTGCCGGTGGTGGCGGCGGTGGTGAATGCGTCTGGTACGGGGCTTGTCCCTGATCCGGATATGACCATCACCCGCGGTCAGACGTGCCTGGTGGCGGAGGACTGCGACGCGACGGTGACGAGGCAGAATGTGGATGGGACGTGGACGTTTTGCGTTCCGAGGGGATTCGAGGGCGGGACTATTATTGGTGGGACGAAGGAGCTGAATAACTGGGATACGAAACCCTCGGCCGAGGTGAGGGCCGAGTTGTTGAGGAAGTTTGTGGAGACATATCCCAAGATCCTGGGGGGCAAGAAGGAGCTGACGGTGGTGAGGGATATTGTTGGGAGGCGGCCGACGAGGAACGGCGGGCCAAGGATTGAGGGGGAGGTTGTGCCTGGTGCTGGGTTTGTAATGCATGCGTATGGACTGGGAGGAAGAGGTTACGAACTGTCGTGGGGGGTTGCCGAAGCAGTGGTCGAAGGGGTTGAGACGCAGATACAGGGGGCGGAAGCAAAGTTGTAGAGATATTGTTTGGAGATTTTCGTCTTTCATAACCGGCGACCCTTTGGAGGACCTGAATATCAAACCCGGCTCTTTCAACTTGCTTCGTTTCATACATATATGTACAGAGTTGCGTGTGACCGCTATAGGGGTAAGTCCGCCCCCCTTTCGATTCCTAACCCCTTCCCAGTTAATCATAGGGGCCCAATGGTGCCAAAACCCTGCCGTACCGGACCGTCCACCGCGGGTATGTTTTTCACAGCCTCTTCTCCCTCCACTAGGCCATCCCATCCACTCAACTCCCCCCCTCCAAATCAATAAATATCACCTCCCCCCCTC